CCTCTTACTCTCTCTCTCTCTCTCTCTCTCTCTCTCTCTCTCTCTCCCTTTCTCTTCAAGGAATAATCGTAAAATGAGAGTCACGGTCATTATGTAATCAATCAATCAAAATCTTAACTACTAACAAATTCATGATGATTTCTGTTCAAAATTAAATTTTGGATAATTAAAAAGGAGAGGAAAATAAATTGCACAAACTTTCTGTTTTTGTACTCAACTTAGAATTTTAGTTTAAAATAAAATAATTAAGCAATTAATCAATTGGTTAATTAAATAATTAACTAACTGACATATGCAGAACATTAAAATATATATTTAAGATAAATTTTTCCATAAATAAAATTCATATATTATGTATCACGTTTTATTCCATTTGTTCGTGTTAATATTATTAAGAAAAATGAAAGGAAAATAAAAAAAAGAAAGAAAAGGAATGGAATGGATTGAAGAGGACAATATATCTGTTTAAATGTGAGGTCAGGTGATTTGGGTTAAAGTTTACCTTTAAGGTTAAAGGAAAACATAACAAGCTATTTGATGGTCATTAAAAAGAAATCAATCAAATAATTTATTTATAATATGAGAAGGAAGGAAAGGAGGAATTGGCTAGAAATGAATCGATTTATTCATAGAGGAAGAAGGAAGGAAAAGAGGAAATGGAGTAAATTAATCAATTCGTGATCAAAGCAAATATTTTTTAGAAATTTTTCTCTTTCACAAGAATTTCAAATCGTTACTTTAAACTATGTGTTTACAGTCCACGTGTCACAAAAGACTGATTAACGTAATAGGGATTTGCTTAGAGTTCACGTTTAAATTTGTTGTCACCTATTCAGGTATGATACATTGAATGAGAAAAGCAAACAAATGGTGGGCACATGCTGTCATTCATTACGTTAACTTTAATGCATCGATTTGAGAATCTGAAAAAATAAAAATAAAAAAAATGAAAAGAGATAATTAGAAATTGAATGATTTTTCTTTGCAGAATATAACCAAATAATGATGAATCAAAGATCAGTTGAAAATGAAGTATCCACACTGACCAGCTTGGTGATGGATGTTGACGGAGGATGCACTAATCTGCTGGTCAATTGAAATGACCAACTGAATATTATTTATGAGCGACGAAAGGTAATGGATAGTGGTCAAACTCTTTTGTTGGACCGAATGATGCAAGGAAGGATGTGACAAAAGAAAGAGAAAGAGGTAGGAAGGAAAAGAAAAAAGACGTAAATTAGTCGCTTATTCAAACGTAAGATCAACTTCAATTCTCTCTCTCTCTCTCTCTTTTATATTACATCCCCTTATTACATTGGATGAAGTACTTAAGTATCACATGATTTTATCATTTCTTCAATAACAAATCACATGATAATCGTTGAACCATCATTAATCTGTTAACATATCCACCACATCCACCAATATCATTTTAATCATTAAATAATCACTGATTAATGGATAAGTAATTTCAATAAAAAATATATATATTTAAGTAAGCAGTGTG